TTGTCATTTATAAAATAAGCAATCATTAATGAATAAGTTCAGTAAAAGTAGTGAATAGTACTGCACACAAAACATCCAAATAGTGAACACATGTTTAAAATATCAATTAACATTTAGAAAACTTGTCACAAAAATACATACGTCTTGAAATTATGAAATTTGACTTTATTACTGTTGGGTGATTCTAGTATTCCTTCGTGAGTACTAAATATAACCCCAAAGGATATGTTGCCTGATTAAGGATCTGCCCTTTGGTGACTTTTCTCTAATATGAAGACTTCATAACCCTAATTCAAAAATTTCAATAAAATTGAAAATGTGGCAGACTTGGTTTGATTGAGCCTGTTCATGGATGATATTGGAAAGTGCAAACTACCGTCCACACCCCCTAGCGCCGGCTCAAGGATAATTCAAAATTTAACATAAAATAGTAAAATTTGAATTTTGAAACATCCGCAGATGTGTAAATATGGAGGTCATCATGGAATTTTCAATGTGACACTTTTCAGCCAGTACATGAAAAGTGGCGTATGGTCCTACAAGTAACAGAATATGTGTGTCCTAATGAGAAAACAATGGATGAAACAGAAATTGGGCGTTCTATAACAAATGTTTGGGTCTTATTTCGGCTTTCGATCCACCTTAATGGATTTCCTTGATAATTAATTAGCAAATTTCGCAGCAAGTGACCCCTGCTTATCTTACATGATTTTTCAAAGAGAAATTTACTTCATCAAAGGATCAAGCAAGCGACACCTTGATTACTAATCTGATGCTCACCCAACACAAACTTTCCTATACTCGTGCGTAAAGTTATATAAAATGCATCTATGAATGTATGACACTAATCTAACCAGGCAAAACCGTCAAAGTACTATTTTGATATACAAGCGTTACTTTTACTATTCTTGCTGTCAAACTGGTCTTCTTAATTTGCCACAAAATTATGCTTTGGTAGTGTTTATTCATCAATCATATTATTCTTGGACTGACTGACATGGGGCGTCCGTGGCCGAGTGGTTAACGTCGTTGACTTCAAACCACTTGCCCCACACTGCTGTGGGTTCGAATCCTGACAGGGACTTTGGATTCTTTCATGTGAGGAAGTTATCCAGCTAGCTTATGGAACGTCGGTGGTTCTACTCAGGTGTCCGTTTGTGCCTGAAATAATGCACGGAAGGGCACCTGAGGTCTTCCTCCACCAGTAAAGCTGGAACGTCGCCAAATGACCTATACTGTGTCAATGTAACGTAAAACCCAATCAAACAAACAGACTGAACGAACAAGGCATAATTTTGTGGCAACTTAAGAAGACAAAATATGACAAACAAGATCGACAAGGAAAGGCGGCGTTCAAGTATTAAAGTTGCTTGTTTTATCTCGACCTTTATGATCAAACTTTTTCACAATAATAAAATGTTTTAATGTTCTGCATAGTTAAGCGAAAGTGGTGGGGAGTATATGGACTGGACATAACTTTTAATGCAGTATCATGACTTTTGACATTCATTTGTGACCTTGACATTTTAGATAAACAACTGAATCTAGTTTGCTAAATATCCATTGAATAAGCAGCATGTTTACGCATAATATTTGCAAAATCTATCAATTGACAATAATTACCTTAACCTTCTAGCCCTAGACTTGATTATTTCTTGAGAATCTGTGGCCAAGTGGTTCAGGTTGTTGACTTCAAACCACTTGCCCCACACCGCTGAGGGTTCGAATCCCAGGGTTCGTACAGTCTTAAAAAGTGCTTAAATTTGAGTCTCTTTCTTAAAAAGTGCTTAAAAATGTAAAAAAGTGCTTAAAAGTCCTTGAATTTGATTACTCTTTTGAATAGTGCTTAAAAAGTGCTTAAATTTGCTAAAAATGTGCTTGAACATATTTGAATCACAGAATGACATAGTTTTGATAAAAATCAACGGTTAACAAAATAAAAAAAAGATCCAATTTAGTATCAAAATCAATGAAATGTTTACTCAAGGTAACAGTACGTGGACAAATTGCAGTTGTTTTGAACTAATCTGTATTTGATGCACCCTTTGTTGTTCTTGTATAATGTCAGAAAATGTGTATTCAACAAAAAATGGTGAACAAACTATCTGTCATAGGTTGAAGATTGTGTCGGTATATGTGCAACAAATGTGCTTGAAAAATGGGAAAACATGCTTAAATAGTGCTTAAAATGTCCTTGAATTTTGGCATTGGATGTCTGTACGAACCCTGAATCCTGACAGGGACCTTGGATTCTTTCATAAGAGGAAGCTATCCAGCTCGGTGGTTCTACTCGCCTAAAATAATGCACGGAAGGGCAACTGAGGTCTTTCTCCATCAGTAAAGCTGGAACGTAGCCATATGACTTATACTGTGTCGGTGAGACGTAAAACCCAATCAAACAAACAAAAAAAACAAATTCTCGCGAAACATGTTGGCAACACATCTATTCAAATCAGAAGTGTAGACCAGACAAGAGTATCAATACATGAAAATGCAAAATTAGAGGTGACTTTGAGCAATACTTTAAGCGTGAGACACATCAGATCAATTTAAAAAATGTATGCATTGTTGTTAAAATTCATCGATGAATGACAATGTCGTGGGAAGGACACAGCCATCTATAAATCATATTATGAATATGGCAGTACAAGTGGGACCTTGCGTTTTAAAGCTAGATATTTGATTTTTGAATGTAACACATCGATATAATGTCCAAAAACATTTGAATTAAGTTATTTCAAAAATTTGTCCAGGAATGATAGAATTATTGACTTGACGTGACCATCAGTGCACAATTCATGCAAAATTTAATTTGTCCATAAATGACAAAGGTATGGACCCCACTCAAAGTATGGATTATGGAAGAAGGGGCGGCACTATACAAATTACTATTCCTCACAAATTTTTGTAGGGGAGCGGCATAAAATGCTGTCTTTATTTTAATTATTAAAATTGACTGTTTTATTTGTGCAGCATGTATTAATACATCTATACTTTATATTTATATATGTATTTAAATCGTATTTTAAGTTTAATAGATATGTTCATTAAGGCTTGAACACCTCTTGCTTTCAACTATGGCAATTTTCTATGACTGTGATTTTATTCAGTATGATATTGGCCCAACAATTCATTAATGAATACTCCTTACATCAATGACAATAATCACTTCTCTTTTCTTTCATGTTAGATAGTATTGTAGTCAAATTTATAATGATGATGTGTCAACCAAAACTAATATTTATATCAAAATGAAGTGAGATCGAATATCCTTTTTACGATTTTTACTGGAAGAACATTATTAAAAAATCTTTTCAAAAAAGTATTTCTCTATACAATACTTATGTTTTGAAAACATATTACATGCTATCATCACATAATTGTTTAACAGATATTATAGAACAAAAAAAGCAAGTTGATGAACATTATAATTAATCTTTTGGGTGTTATTTTTCCCCACCAAGTTTTAAAACTCTACTCTTCTAAGATATATGATAACTTTTAATAACTTGTCAAACTATAATCCAAAGATAAAAGACAGACAACTGTGAAATAATTTCATTCTACTTTGTGTCAAATAGATATATCGAAAGGCAACAAAATCTAAAAAATATCTGTTTTGGTACCGTTTATTTGTTGGCTAATTGATTGTGATAATTTTATAGATTGCGAATACATGATGTTTCTTTCTTCTTAAATGTAATACAAATTTTATATTTCTTATCACAAAATTACGTGATCAATGAACTAAAATAGTAAAGAAAAGGCAAGTTTTAGAAGCTTAAAAATTTTGAACGTTTTTTTCTTCTTCTTTTTTTTCTCTTTCTTTCTCGGTTATTTTACCCCACCCACTTTTTTTAGATCTACTCTTCTGTGTTTAATGTGCAGGTAATATGTTTTATGTTTAACTTCTAAAAAAATGTTCAAATGATAAAGAACATACAATTAAAACACAATTTCCTTTACATTAAACTTAAATAACAAAGTAAAGACAAGGTTTTAAACAATGTAATTTTTAATATTATTTTCGGTAATTTTACCCCACCCACTTTTGAAACTCTACTTTTACGGCATAAATGCACAAATAATGATTTTTTTATGCTTAACTTGTTTAGCTGTGTTAAATTGATAAAGTACACACAATTTAAATGCATTCTGAGACTCATTTATATTGTGTTAATACGGAAAAACGAAAATCATCAAATTGTCAAAAAATGTTATTTTTCACCACTTCTTTGGTAAATTAATGGTGATAATTTTAAAGTTTGCCATATAATTGTCATTTTTCCTTGATTAAATCATAATTTTACCATATTTTATCTGATATTGTGCAATTAAAACTATTTTGTACAAAATCTTAAAGTAAAAATTCAAGAAACAAAAATTATATGGTATTTTGTAATTTATGGCGGCCATTTTGGCGGCCATCTTGATTTTTGTACTTTTGCCCGGGCTGGGTAACTTAAGAAATCGTTGTTTAGAAACTTCAAGCAATATGTTTTACAATGGCAATGTTTGTTTTGGTGATACAGTAAGTTGCAATAAAACCCCGCCATCTCCTGGACTAATTATCTAAGAACATGTTAAGCTTTTAAAACAAATACACACATAGTTAGTTTTACGTGAAGAAGATGTCAATCTGTTGAACATTGACAAGATATATGACTGTATATATCAGCGGAATACAACAGTTGGTTCGAATATGTCTTAGAGTGGGAGAGAGAAATGTCGACTTCACCTGAACTTCCTATACATCTGGTATATTATGAGGATCTAAAGGAGGTGAATATGCTTGCTCCTAATTAACCTTGAAAAGATACTAAAATTTAGTTTTTTTATATATGATTATTTATTTGCGACAATTGATAGATTAGATATCATATTATTTTCTTCTTGTTTGATTATCAGATTAAATACATATCTTCAGAAATCTAGTCGTTGATAAAATAAGATTGTGAAAAATAACAATTAAGTAAGTACTCTTTTAATGTAATCCTACACTTCGAATTTCCGTAAACATTGAGTTGTGTATACCATTTAAATCACATCACCTATAAACATATGATCAATCAGAATCAGTCACTTTTACTAGTACAATGGTCTTGAATAGGCAATTATTGTAGTGTCTGTGGTCTCAGATGTTCATATTTTACACCAACAAAATTTAGGGCATATGGTACCGCAACAGGTAAGATTATTTTGGCTAACCTGGGGTGTTACAAACTTCAAGAAATGCCAAGGAACAAAACCGTCTCACCTGCTGGAGCTGAAAGAGGCATATACTCCAATATTTATAACCCATTTAGTCTTCTCTTACAATCACACAGGGATAAACGGTAGCTGCAATTCTAATGGCCAAACCATTAAAAGCAACAAGGGGATTGTGGTCAAATCAGTGAAGAAAACGAAAGATGGAGTAAAATGAAGAATTATGACTGAACACGGTGATTTTAATAGTGCAATAGTGCGCCGGTCTTATTTAATGGTGATTTAACCATTGGAACTATACTTGATTTGTCTGGGTTGTTCTACTGTTTGCTTAATGTCGCTTAAATAATGTGTAGGTCTTAATTGCGGCTTAAGTTCTGATAAAAATTTCTAACGTATATGTTTAAAGAAAATTTGAATAAACTAATTATCTTGATTTCATGTATACAGAAAACTCTTCAAGAAGTATGTCGTCTTGGAAAATTTCTTGGAATAGAAAACAAAGACGGTCTCTTCGAAGCCATCAGTGAAAAATGCAAATTTGAAAATATGGTAAAAGATAAGCAGCCATATTTGTTTCCTGGTGAAGCATTGGAGGGATTCACATTTTATAGGAAAGGTAGTATAGAGATTCATATTTTATAGGAAAGGTAGTATAGAGATTCATATTTTATAGGAAAGGTAGTATAGAGATTCATATTTTATAGGAAAGGTAGTATAGAGATTCATATTTTATAGGAAAGGTAGTAAAGAGATTCACATTTTATAAGAGAGTCACATTTTATAGGAAAGTTATTTCAGAGATTCACATTTTATTGGAAAGGTAGTAAAGAGATCGTAGCTTTATTATGACTTAACACATATCACCAAACATAATTACAAATATTTGTTTCTGTTTGTATTTTTTTCCAGACAACTAAGGCTGAAATAAATACGTAAATGTTAGCAGTTTTTCAAATTGTTATTCTATTTTTAGATAATGCTAATTTTTGACTAAATATGTTGCATTGTTTGTTTAAAATCAAAACATTTATACATTTTTCTCGGTGGGGTTACACAATATAAGTCATACACAATAAACACAAGTCATTTTTATAATACATTGTGAAAATGATAATTTTATTCAATAGTAATAAGAAATAAGTACTAAGTATCTTATATTCATTTTACATATAACAAACTTTTAGTTATATTAAACTGTTTAACTGAGCAGCATTTCTAGTATTTTATACATTGTGTACATCTGGAACAACTTTTTAAACGGGCTTTTACATCTGTCAGTTTCTCTTATTTCAAGTGAAGGTACCTTTTTACATGATTTGATATGTTACTTGTTAAATATAATTCTTTCAATCACCCAAACATCCCTTATTTTCAGGTGACGTTGGAGACTGGAAGAACTGGTTTACAGTAGCACAAAATGAACATTTTGATAAAATCTATAATGAAATTATGGAAACATCAAAACACAAATTTAGATACCAGAGAATACAAAATTGTGATAGAAGTATGTTATAGAGACAAATATGAGAACTTGGGAAGAAATTAGTAAATCTTTAAGCAGATTTGAGCCGCGTCACGACAAAACCAACATAATGCGTTTGCGACCAGCATGGATCCAGACCAGCCTGCGCACCCGCGCAGTCTGATCAGGATCCATGCTGTTCGCTATCAGTTTGTCTACTTGTTATAGGGTTTGTAAGCGAACAGCATGGATCCTGATCAGACTGGTCTGGTCTGGATCCATGCTGGTCGCAACCCCATTATGTTGGTTTTGTCGTGACGCGGCTCATTTGTTTCTATTCATAGCAGCCACATTTCCATAACATTTTGAATGAAACATGTATCGTTTTAATGTATAAACATTAATTACATATCTATACTATTCTATTCGTCAAAGTAATTATAATAACTGTAATGATAACTTTTGCCTATTTCATTTTGCATTACATTTTCTTCAGCTTTTAATTCTTATAATATAAAAATAACTGAAAAGTGTTCAGTTTGTTTGCTTGTCTCGTTTTTACCACGAGTACTTAACTCACATGATTTCTGAATCAGCGTTGTTAGATATAATGTTCGAGACGAACATTCACGGAGGATTTTCGACTCTATCAAGGATTGATCCAGCGTCCGCTGGTTAACAAAAAAATAAATAAACAAAAAACATAAATAAAAAATAAGAAAACCACAAAAACATTATGTTTATTTTTACATATAAATGTCTCAAAATAATGATAATGTACTCATTAAAGCCTGAATGATGTTTCATGTCTACCATAAGTGTTTGTACACTATTTACTTCTTACTACACCCTTTTTACCGAATAAGGCAATTAGTTTTACATGCCAAATATTTTTTATCCTAACAATAAGCTTAGTTAAATTTACAAAATAAGCACTGAGGACACACACGTCATCTGATTATATATTTTATAAAGTATTCGTAAGTGCTATTTTCGTTTGTCTTTGATACAAGCTTATAAAAGCTGAAATAGAACGAAAACAAATTATCGCTGGATACGTTTACTTCATTAAAGCAAAAGTGGTTAGTTATTTTACAATATTGCTTATAATGTAATGTTAATTGGTATGATAAAGTAAATGAAATAGATGTATTAATCAAATACAGCTGATTTGTTTGAAAGCAGACACTTAACTATACTAATTATTCCTTACAATTCCAAAGGTTCAAAGATGCTAGTACAAAGTACAAATATATATTTCATTTTAAAAAATAGATGTGTTGACGACCTTTTGGAAATAAAAAATTACCAGTTCTTTTACAGTAACAGGCCTCCAGATGAGCCAAATAATTCAAGAAAACCAAACTTAAGAAAAAAGTATAAAGATATAAGATGAAGTAATACTTTTTGCAGTTTTTATTCCCATATTTATTTCGACTGGGTGACTAAAGCAGTAAGAGCTTTGTTTGCATATTCTGATTGTTTTGGTGATATACCTGGATTACTCGTGTAAATGCCATTTGCAATTACTTTCTATGTTTACTTCACAAAATTTTTTTTTTAATTTTGTGTACAATATTAAGAACTTAAATGAAAAATAGCATGAACATGGAGACATGCTGCTTTAATTAAGGTTTTTTCCTTGTGTTATTTCAAGTAAAGCTTTATAGTATGGTATCATATTTTGCAATAAGTACAGCTTAATTATAGACATTATGAGATTTGTTGAATATTTTTAAATTTCATAAATTTCAAGCAGCATAATGAAAATATTTATTTCAACAGTATTGATCTTTTCATTATTCAATGTACCAGTTATTACAACAATTGAAGGTATTTTGTATAATGATAATTATTTTATTTTAACTATTTGATGCAATGCTGATTAATTAATTATAAAATCAAATGTAGGTGTTGGAACAACATATCACCTTGAAATTCCATTCAAGATTTTTAAATTCGATATAGAATATGGCAAATTTGTTTAACGTTCTTCCTCTGTTTGATTATTCCTATTTTGGACGAAAACAATTTAATTTCCACAACCACAACCATTTTCTTCCCTTTTCTAGAGAATATGCATGTTGTGGACGTACAGTATATGATTATAGATATTTTAATTGTTATAACGGGGTTGTATGATTTTACAGCTGTTAAATGAGTGAGAAATGTCATGTTAAAAATCAATTATATAAAGAGTGAATAAAATGCCCAGTTTTTGTTATTTTTTACTTTACTCTATGACTTTCTGAACAATACATTTTTAGCTAGGAACATTTCATTTCTATGAGAAAAATCCTAACTTTAACGACTAGTACTTACTTTTCATGTTGTATTTTCGATATAACAATTGAAATATAATTGTAAAATATTGCTTGTTACACCTGTTATCAATAAATGTCGCATTTAAGAAGATTGTTATTTTTGTAAGTAGCCTATTACAAATATTTGACAATAAAACTAAATAATTTTGAACCAATGACATGACAAATTTATATTTGAAAAAAAAGCCCAAATAAGATGTAAAGTAAAGATGGCCCTAGATCGCTCACCTGACCCATCAAACTCATCCGAACAATTACCTAGACAAGCATTCTGACCAAGTTTCATGACAGGTGAGTCAAAAATGTGACCACTACAGTGTTAACAAGGTTTTTCCATATTTGGGCGATGTGACCTAGTTTTTCATCCGAGATGACCCATGTTCGCACTCATTCTGAAAGCTATCACCTTGACAAGCATCCTGACCAACTTTGATGATAATTGAGGCAAAAATGTGACCGCTAGAGTGTTAACAAGGTTTTTCTATTTTAAGCTCCGGTGACCTAGTTTTTCATCCGAGATGACCCATGTTCGAACTCATCCGAGCTATCACCTAGACAAGCATCCTGACCAAGTTTGATGATGATTAATGCAAAAATGTGACCGCTAGAGTGTTAACGAGGTTTTTCTATTTATAGCTCCGGTGACCTAGTGTTTCATCCAAGATGACCCATGTTCGAACTCATCCAAGGTATCACCTTGACAAGCATCCTGACCAAGTTTGATGATGATTGAGGCAAAAATGTGACCTCTAGAGTTTTAACAAGGTCTTTCTATTTTTAGCTCCGGTGACCTAGTTTTTCATCCGAGATGACCCATATTCGAACTCATCCGAGCTATCACCTAGACAAGCATCCTGACCAAGTTTGATGATGATTAATGCAAAAATGTCACCGCTAGAGTGTTAACAATGTTTCTCACTTTTTAGCTCCGGTGACCTAGTTTTTCACCCAAGATGACCCATGTTCGAACTCATCCAAGCTATCACCTTGACAAGCATCCTGACCAACTTTGATGATGATTGAGGCAAAAATGTGACCTCTAGAGTGTTAACAAGGTTTTTCTATTTTTAGCTTTTGTGACCTAGTTTTTCATCCGAGATGACCCATGTTCGAACTCATCCGAGCTATCATCTAGATAAGCATCCTGACCAAGTTTGATAATGATTGAGGCAAAAATGCGACCGCTAGAGTGTTAACAACTAAATGTGGACGGACGACGGACAATCATCGATCCTAAAAGCTCACCCTGAGCATGCTCAGGTGAGCTAAAATGTTAACCGATGAGATAATAATAATTGAGGTCGATGCCTAGATATAAATCTAAACCACGACACTATGGATATATATCATACTCAAGCCGTTGAAAAAAAAACTACAACAGATAGTTGCAAATGTGAAGAAAACAATTGCAAAGCTGAAAGATTAAAAGGTTTAAAAGATGACCATGAATACACAATTCGTGTATTTAAAATATTTCACGTACACTTATAAATGAGATATAGTCTTAAAAATGGGGTTAATCCAGTTTATCGTTTAAATGCGTTCATGTTGCTGTTCTTATTATCCAAAAAGCATTTTGTATCATTTAATTTCATTTAATTGAAATGGAAAGTTACGTTAACATTTAACAAGATTTAAGAAATGTAGATTTGTAATTAATTTACTTCTTGGTCGATATAAAAGAAAATCAGGATAAGTGCGTTTGAATTTATTAATATCCGTCAAATGATCAAATATGGAATCACAACAATTTTCGTCCGTTGTTACTTTGTATTGCCAAAATTGTCATAGCAACACAATACATTACGTAGGGGATATTAGTTTGTGACATAGTACTATTGAGTGGATATAAGAAGCACTATTTTCAAGTGTGGCGTATCCAAAAATGAAAATAAATGAGCAAATGCTGACATACAAAACAGAAGCATTTCTTGCGGTTTTCCAGTATTGCTACTTGAGTACAGTAAAATTACTGTCTGCTTTTTTAATTTGCCTTTTGACGTTTTGTCTCTAATATCAGGCTTCCTACTTTGAAAAATTCCATTTATTTTAGTAGCGCTTTGTATGATGGTCCGAGACGTAGAGTTTCGTGAGAATATGGCTCCGACACACGGCATTCTTTTTTCTTTTTTTGTTATGAAAAAAAACAACTTTATTTTGTTTAAGTCTTGCCTTCAATCTAGATGACAAAAGTCACATTATTTGGTTATGAGTGATAAGAATATTTAAGACAGGTTCTTAGAAAGCGCTCACTCACTAATGTTTTGTATCTGAGCTTAACTCGATACCTTTGAGGTGTTAATGAATTCATCTAATGATACTAGTTTATTACTTCATAAATAAAGAAGTTTAACCAGTGAAATATCTTATTTCTTGTTAAGTGACAGCTAAGGAAATCATTTGCCGTCATAAAGGACCGAAAAACATATCATATTATTTGATTAGATATATTTACAGGATATCTCATTAGTAGCGGCGAACAAAAAACTCCTTTGACCTAAGATTAGTGTAGTTAAAAGAGAAAAACATGATAACGAATAACTACATAGTCAAAATAAGGTTGGCTTCTAATTAATTGTCACTCAAACAGATGTATCAAGCCAAGAGGTATATATATAAGTACTTATACAACACTGTTTTCCTTCAAACTTTGTGTTGGTTGAACAAAATGGAATTACTAAATATGAATGTAGTCATATATTTAATGTGTATTTCTATTGTGGACGGACTTAACAGCATGCTCAAAAAGGAATCAAATCTCAACAATACGGATTTGGTGTCTATTTTGATAGCAGAGCAAAGTAAAGTTTGTCCATATATTGCTTTATGTCATACACCTAATACGTCATCTTGGGATGAGAATAATTACTCACTTCCTTGCTGTAAAAAATG